TTTCGCTTTCACAACAAAGCACACAGCGTCTTCACGACATGGCGGCAGCGGCAACAACAATACTACAGCGAGAATAAAAGTTACGCCTTCTTTCTTTGCGTGAACATTTGGGCGGCGTTATGCAAATCTTCCCACATAGTGAGGTAGATATGTGGGGGCGTGTTCGAACGAGCCGTTTTAGGTAGGTGTGGCTGACTCTTAACTTTTAAAAGAATATCTCTTTGGATTTGAGACTTTAGTCTTTGCAAATTTACAGATCTTCTTTATGCACCAAGAGCTTGTAACACTCCAAAGAGAAAGGAAAAAATGAAATTGCATCATATGACCCCTTTAATCAAACACACCTGATTCAGGTCATCAGCTCATTAGTAGAGACTCCAAGACCTGAAACTGGTGTGTCAGAGAAAGGAGACATGCAAAATGTGCAGTGTTGGGGTGCCTCCAGGACCAGGGTTGGGAACCACTGATTTATACAACACGCAGTGCTTTTCTGTGACTGTCAAAAAAAAAAGTGAATATGAGGCACACAATTTACCTGTTGCAGGGAGCATGATAACATAGCTGATTTTGACAGTTGACCGGAAATGACTGACCTGGCTTAACTAAAACCAGAAAGTAACCACGCATATAGTCAATTTACCCTTCGCAAAGACTTGCCCCCCTTATTTATATTTGCTACATCCAACAAGTCATACTCTCTCACGCCACACATCATGTTTTCATGGAGTGAAAAATACATTGCTGAGAAACTAACAACGCACTGACAGACAAGACAGCATGTTACTTTCAGATGTGGGTAGAGTATCCAAAAACTGGACAAGTAAAAGTACTAATAGAAATAATTACTCAAGTAAGAGTAAAATTAATAATCCTAATAGTTATTGAGTATAGATTACAAAAAGTATCCAATCAAAAACTTTGGATCTCACATATATATGTGTGTGTGTGTGTGTGTGTGAGAGCTGTTGAAGCTCTCCACCACCAGATCCTCCTGTCAACCCTATTGGCAAAGGGCGTCTCAGGAACAGCACTCCAGTGCAGGTTTGAGTCTTACCTCTCAGATAGGTCCTTTAAGGTATCTTGGAGAGGTGAGGTGTCCAACATCTAGCTACTGGGGTGCCTCAGGGCTCACTTCTTGGACCACTTCTCTTCTATGTCTACATTCTACATGGCATCACTAGGTTCTGTCATTCAGAAACATTGCTTTTCATATCACTGCTATGACACTCAACTCTACCTCTCATTGCATCCTGATAATCTGACGATAGCAGCTCACATCTCGGCATGTCTAGCAGACATTTCTTGCTGTATGAAGGACCTTCAACTCAACCTTGCCAAGACAGAACTGCTTATGGTTTCAGCAAACCCATCACTTCATCACGATTCCTCCATCCAGCTAGGCGCATCAACCATAACTCCTTCAAGGACAGCCAGGAACCTTGGAGTTGTGATTGATGATCAGCTGAATTACACAGACCACATTGCCAGAACAGTCTGGTCCTGCAGATTTGCTTTATACAACTTTAGGAAGATCAGGACCTTTTTTCAAACCATGCTACACAACTCCTTGATCAAGCTCTTGTTCTGTCCAGCCTGGACTCTCTAGAAGCTTGCATTCTGCAAGTGA